GAGAATCTTGGGTTTGATAGGATCAGCCGCAGCACAAACCGGCGAGTTCAAGAGACACCAGAAAGAAAGCAAGAAGAAGCACCTGAACATCAGGAGAGGACACCAGAATGAGCGGAAGGAAGTTGACGACAATGGCACAGGGAAAAACGAGCACAAGCTAGGGCGCTAGAGCAGCTAGGGAAGAGAAATGGAGAGTTAAAAGGAGTGGAAACTCCCTCAGCGATGGCTTGATCAGGTGTCGCAATGATGGCTGCTGCCGGCGCTGTCATTCAGCACTACGCAGCCTGGCTGTTCCATGGATTGTTGGGCCCATGACTCCCTTCTCAGCGTTCCCAATTTCATTGCCACATGTGCCAGAGATCTGGGCAGTTGAGCTGAGGTCAAGTTGCCTCTCTTCAAGGACCCCAGATTGATAGCAGGATGTTCTGAGTTCAAAAATACAACGTCTCTGCCATGTGATGGCTGCAACTAGGATGTGCCCTCTGGAGTGACTGCGCTGATGACTACCAAGGGCAGCTTGGCAACGTAATTCTTGGTGTCTTACCGGGGCCTAGCAAATCAGCTGGCCCCGAGAGGTCAGCTTGCTTCCGCGTTGCTCTTCGCGGCGTGCGGTTACATGGAGCTCAAAGTCTGGAAGCAGGCATTGATGCTTGAAGTCGCGAAAGATCGTGGCAGCTTCCCTACTGTGTCTGATTGTTCCCTGCAGGATGAGGCTCCTTTCCGGCATCTTGCGCATCTAGCACACTTGTCGGCCTTCCTTGTGGCATCCGGCTCCTGACTTTGCGTCGTGGCAATCAATGTGCAGGCCAAGGAGCCTGGCAACTTCGGGGATCCTGCGGGCTGGTCCCAGACTGGTCTGGGTGGAGGAGCAGAGCAGAGATGCCCCGCACCGTCAAGCATTGCATCTGCATGTCAGAGGCAGCTACAACAAGACCATGCGAGAACGCGAGCTGAACAATGGCCGCTTTGCTATGCCCCTGGCTTGCAAGCAAGTCGAAAAGCCAACTGAGGGCGTAGCTGTGGTGGAGTTTTAAATGGGTTGGTGCATAGTCAAGTGTGCAAATCCTAGGATTGCATCCATGGGCATCATTGCTGGCGAGTTGGTGTCTGGAAAGGACGATGTGCTATTCGCAACTGAGTGTTGCAACGAGTCAGCAACGGAAGCTTCATGCCCAGGATGCCATCCAGCAGCTCACTCTCAGATAGGGCTCCTTAGCTAGCAGCTAGCAGGCGGCATGCAGCATATCAAGCGAGTGCGCCCTTGGATCGCGACCTCTTTGCATGCACTGCAGTGCTCAGGTCCGCGTGGATCTAATGATCTTCTGCACAGACCGACGCAAGGACGTCGCGACATGATGCTATGAGATGGGCTGAAGATGAATCGAAGTTGATTTGTAAAACCGGCCCGGAGTCTTGACTGGCTTGTTGCCTGTTGAAGCCTGAGAATGTGATATAGAGTTACAGAATCCGCCCCACAGTTTGGATATTTGGCTACAGGCGCGGGACTGCTAAAGATCAGGCACCAGGCAAATTTCTCCAAACAAGTGGCCATGTCGGCTGCTTCATGCTGCTTCCCATCGTGTCACTTTGCTTTTCAATATTGCATACAGTACTAGTACTAGCCATGTAGCCTCCTTGGGTTAAGCCTGAATGTTGCTGCGCCATCTGCCTTCAGTCGGCGCAGGCATCCAGTGACACCACTTCCAGCTCTGCTGGCTTTATAACTTCCCACACTGCTCTTTTCGCAGCTGCCTAGGGCAACGTACGCTGCAAGGTTCAGTGTCTGGACAATCAGTCCGATTGGGGATGATGCTGTAGTCTTAGAAGAAGCCTGGGGTGGGTAAGCGAAGCTCGGATTTGTAAGCAGATTCAGGATTTTGTTTTGCTGTTGGTTTGGCAATATTTGATCACTTGATGTTTGCAGAGACCCACGTGAGATTTCACGCTTCTTTTTCCCACCACCAGTCAACCTGGTCAAACTGTTTGTGACCACTCACAAAGTCCTTGTCATCGTAAGACCGAGACATCCTCAGCCATCGGCGCAAGTGCCAAAGACCTTTGCATGTCCTGTGCCAGGCAAGCCCTGTTGTGCAACAGGTTTGCTTTCTGGGAATTGTTGGTTTGATGAAGGTACGGTTTGCGCTCGAGACATTGCAAGAAGGCGCGGCAGATGTTGGATGTTTGTGCGCAATGCATTGTCTTTGTAATTGCAATTGCTAAGGAGGCTGCTTTATTTGCAAGTTCTTTGATACCTTCACGCATGTGGCGACCCCAGAGAAGGCATGTAGCTTGGCAGCTCAAGGATGACAATGTGCCAAAGCATGGCTCGTTCAGGTCAGTTGCGGGTTGCTCTACATCGTCCGCCTCTGAGCACGGCGTTGAGCATTCCACCTACCCATTTGCACCACTTGAGCTTTGACACCTCAGCCGCTCCACTCTGTTCTCAGGTTGCGTCACTTTTCCAGCGGGTTGACGTGGTTAAGCCAAGACATAGCCGGGTCGTGAATTCAGAGCAGCGGCCTCGTTTCATGGTGCTTCCCAGAGTCGCCTTGATGTCGTACATGTCGGCGCAGAGCCAGCGGTCTGCCATCTGTTGATGTTCGCACTGCAGCTCGGAAGCTTGGACACCATGCCATGAGGATGCTCATCTCACGTTGTCAAGTTATAAATTCTCCAACAATCCAAATAAAACCCACATATTTCAAAAAGGAAAGCTTCACAAGCGCTGCGGGGGAAATAAAAGCTGGGCAATTGACTGGTGAACCTCAACTGCCTTGTCAATTGTGAGCGTTGGGGTTACAAACGCCGCATGACGTAGCCTCTCAAGCTTGATCTTCTGCCTGTTTGACAGTGCTACTGCAATGCCTGTCCTGCGTCAGCTTTCTCGCGCTGCTTTGCTCTGCCAAGCCCGGAGCTGGCAGAAGGCCCGCCCGGTGATATCGTTTCATGCATGTTCAGCTTGGGATTGTTTTTGCTAAGTATTCCGCGGCACAGAACTCGAAATTCATGCTCTCCACCCTTGTTGACATTTGGGCCCGAGAGCGTACAATTCTTTTTCCTGGAGAGCCATCCACAAATGTGGTGGTGCGAATGCTAGCCATCCCATGCCTTCTCTTCTATTTCAGACGATTGTCCTGATCATCCAGTTAGGGGTTGCCCTGCTGGTCGGATTTCTGGCTTTCCGCTTAGGATGGGTGACTGAAAAGCAGGGCTTAGCCTTTTTGACGGGACGAATTGGCCTGCCACTGCTTGCCTTCAAGGCCGTGACAACAGCAGATCTAGATGACATGGAGCTGGGAGTAACCATAAGCTGTACGATTGGGAAGCTTTTCGTATACTTACTGGCTTGCGCTGCAAGTTGGGTCTGCTGCCGAAGGGAATCCAAGGACAAGAAGCTGATATCCGCGGCCATATTTAGTTTTCACGTGACAGCCGCAAATGATTTTGTGTTCGGCTTTCCCATTATCCAAGCATTCTATCCGGACAAGGGCGTCACCAACCTGGTGGCCAATGTCGTTGTCCAAAATGTGTTTTTCCAAGTTTGTAGCTTGTCAATGCTTGGCGTTGGCACTGCTCAGCAAAGGCAGGCGGAGGCAGATGCCTCCCCTGCGTTGAACGCAACATCCCCGAGGACACAGTGTAGCCGGACACTGAAACAGTTAGCTCAGGACCCGCTCCTGTGTGCCATTGCACTTGCAGTTGTTTACAAGGCTTTTGCAAGGCTCATTGCCCCACATGCGCCTGGAGCGTCTGTGGTCCCAGAGCCAGTGAGTGATGTGATTGACTTCTTTACAAAGCCGTTTTCCACAACAGCATTGATGCTGACCGGCGCCAATCTCGCAACAGCCCTAGACAGGACAGGTCATCATAAGACAGCGGGCGGCAGCCTGTATCTTGTTGGCGTACCCATCGCGCTGGTGGTGGCCAAGAACATAATTTGCCCATACGTTACTTTAGCAGCGTCGGAGTTAATTCTGCCTGGGAGTCAGAACAACAAGTGGCACAATTTCGCATTTCTGTACGGCTCCATACCTACCTCGTCGGCGCCCATGCTCGTTGCTATGCGGGTTGGTCATCATATTGAAGTAGTAGCAGCAGCTGTTTCCATCGGCATCATGGTCGCAATTCCTATGCTCATTGCATCCGCTGTGCTCCTTGGCCGTGATACAGTCGATGCTTCTCGGGTGGAGGCTGAGCTGTACAACAGCCAGCTGGCTGCCATGGTGGTGTCTGTGCTGACAACGTCAGCATCCTTGCTGCTTTTCCGACTACATGATCGGACTTCTTTATGGTGGAGTTTCCCTCACATCATCCTTGTTTGGTATGCCTTTGCGTGCTTTGCGCACGCTACCTGCAATCTGGCAACCGCAATTGCTTTACCAGTGTGTGACCTATTCAGTGCCCGCATCATGGCGTACTGCGAGGTGCAAAGCTACATCCTGATAGCGATGATGGCCCTTGCTAGCCTTCTGAACTTTAAGTCAAAATGGCATGCCAAGCACATGCTGTGGATAGCTGTCCTTGCACCGGTGCCGTGTTGTATCTGGGTACCAAACCCAACCGTAAACAAAAGCTGCATCCTGGGAGTTGGAGAAGCAAGCGGCTTTAATTTGACTGTCAGTGCCGTCGGCTTTGTCCTGATTTCCACGCTGATCGTGGCAGGAGTGCTGTTGAGAAAGAGGCCCTCTGAGTTTCAGCCAGCGACATGCATGACAACCTTGCAGGAAGGCCTTGAAGCGCCTCTATCCCCAGAGTCTCCGCCACCAGAATCGCCGTTGGATGCTAACACCCTTGTGGAGTTTGAGCCGGACTCCCCGGTGTGCTATGAGCATCGAAGTCCGGGCTCTCGCCATTCATCTGCGGTTGAGTATCTGGATCACAACCTGCAGGATGTCGCAGGCACTGGCGCGGCCACTGGAAGTGATGTGCCTTTAGGGTCTTTCCGTGGACCCTTCGGGCCGCAGTTGCCTGTCTTGCCAAGGCAACAGACCCTGGACCCTATGCCATTAAACTGCGGCGGTACCGTGGACAACAACAGCAACCTCAAGTTTGCAATCCTTGTGATTGCCGCCAAGGCTCTTGTGGTCCTGGCCATCTCAACGCTTGTGCGATCTGTTCTGCTAATTCAGCGGCGACTTCATCAGGACACGGCTGGTGCCTGTACCCCAGCTTACAACTTTACAAGAAATTCAGAAATTAAATCTTTTGGGTTAGGTGGGGTGAGGGCTTGCTCGGCTGCTGGATGCCAGGACCTCGAGTCGTCACTGGTTCTCGGGCTGCTGGTGGAACTCTTGTTTGAGCACTCTGAGGGCTTTTTCCTGCTCTTGGTCATCCTCTGCTTCTTTGATACTTCTTGCTCCAAGATGGCGCGCAAGCTTCGTCATCGCCGTCAGATTATACTGGCCAGGCTGCCCATCCGGAGTCGGCAAACATCAGAGGCAGTTCAGGTAGTTCATCGCTAGCTCCCGATTCTCGGCAAGCTTGGAACAGACGGTGCGATGTTTCATTGATTCCTGCGTTTCACCGGAAAAGAGGCTGCTGCATGGTGCGGTTGTCTACTCATGTCAAATCCTTAAAGCACCCAGTCTCTCAAGTCCTGTCAAGCAAGAAATGTTCTGCCCGATGGGAGGGCAGTGCTGCCTTGCGAGCATTCGGCGGCTCTCAGAGCTCTGAAACTTGGAGCTGCAGAGCTTTTTCCGCCGTTACTGAGGCCGGGGCACAGGGCTTTGTGCAGGTAGCAACGGGTCACATGGCGCTTACGCTGTTTGCTGAGTGTCAAGCAGATCTTATTTCCTTGTGCATCAGGCTGTGCGTGAAGCAGCCTTAGAAGTGCGTGTAGAGTGTCAACCGGCAACTTCCTCCCAGGTGGCGAGGCCACTTCCTGAGGCCGAGGAGGCCACCGGCGAAGACTCCGCGGAAGGAAAAGACGCATCAGACGAGGTCGCGCGCCTAAACCTTCGGGAGCTGCCAAGGCGATCACCCTGTGCCAATCTTCCAATTTGGCAGGTTGACATCCCCCCAGAAGTGCTAGAGCTTTTTGGCACACTCCGGGGCGAAGCTATACGACGTGCCTGCAGAAGCACAAAGAGATTACACTGTGCTTTTGTGTTGCAGGTATTGCTGAAAGCAGTTATCATTTGCAGACCCTCCAAGCCTTAGGCTTGAAAGATTTCCAGCCGATTCATTTATTCTCGCTGTGCTGGGCGTACTCCACAGCCCCTCGGCCGAGCCAAAGTCAGTGATTGCAGTCCTGTGGCATGAGAACTATGTCGAGGCGCGGCTACTTGACGATGACATGCGCCTGCAGGCGCATCTCCAAAGTTGCCTGCAAGCCTCGGATTCATACGGATTCCTCTGGTGCCAGGTGACTCGGGCCGCCCTGCACCTGGGAAGGACCCGTGATGAAGAGAACAGCCAGGAGGCCGCACGCACACATGTTACGGACGCATATGCATGTTGTCCAAACTCAACACAGGCCGCAAGAGAACAAGAGCGACCCGAGCCTGGTGAGATGAAGACTGGTTTGGAGAGCCCATACGTCGTCCAGGCCTGCAGCTGTCGGAAGTGTGTCGGCATGGGCACTTTGATGGGCAGCCTTCGATGGATGAAAGGAAAGTGATCACTGGATGGCCCTCTTCAAACCGGCTCATTGGCAGGTGTCAGTGGATGCTAAGGAGGCCAGGAAGTGAGCCATGGCTTCGTTCAAAGTCGCTCAGCAAGGTCAAGTCAAACGTGCTCACCAGATGTTTGAAATGTCCAGGCAACCAAGATGGCTTCCGCCACGCTCTTTGAAGACGATGAGGAGGGCGATGAAGAAGTGGTTGAAAGGCCGCGGGTCCAGGCCAAAAAGGGGTATTCACCTCACCTCATGACCTGATCACAGCTTTTGCGTGAGCAGCGGTGGCAAGACGCAGAACACGACACATCTTGAAAACGATTGGCATCCGGCCCTTTGCAGGCGTGGATACACAAGAACATGTCGCAGAGATACCCGCTGCTTGACGCAGCCACCCATGACGCTCCTGCACAAACTGCCATGCCTGCATCATGAAGAGCACGCAGCACTGTAGCCTCTAAGGATCTGCACTGATCCAGCAGAAGCATATGGACTGCTGTCTCTTTGCTGCACCAGTCTGCAATTTTCCCTCCGACGTCAGATACCACTGCCATTCTAGCCTAGCTGTCCTCACTCTCAGGGCCGTCTGCAAGTACAGTATCTTGTTCCACGGATAAGGCATAGACTTGACGCACAGACAAGCGGCGTGCTGGTTTGTGCGAAGAGCTATGTAGGCCGCTGCCCTGGCAATTTCTGCATTGCATGATCACCTAGATACTTCTGAATCTTCTGAATTCTGTCAACATTGTCAACGTTCTGAGGTGCGTATTGGCTTCGTCTGCAGTGGTGTCAGTATTCTGTCGACAAGGAGCTGGAGCCCTATGCAGCCTTCGTCCATGGTTTGGAGCTGGCTTCATTGCTTTTTTTGCAGCGCTCAGGTATGTTTGTGTGGTCCATGGATGGGTCGACCATGCCATGCGTGAGATCCACAAACGCATTCGCCCCTCAATCTGACCAAACCTAACTGGCAGTATAGATGGTGCAGTTTCTAGCTCAGCAGGTGGCATTTCAATGTGCAACACTTTGCTCATTTGCAGGCTGAGTCATCGGCAGTTTGAGTGGGTTTGCAGGTTTTGAGCTTGCTGCAGTTTTGGCTCGTGCGCCCACATGCGCCTGGCCTTGTGGGCACCATGGCCGGCAAGCCACAGGCCGCAGGGACTTCCAAGGAAATGGGTTCGGTACATGAAGCGCCGCGCATTACCTGGCATAAGGAAGAGCTAGCATTTTCTCGACAATTTTGCTTACAGCGCAGAGCTTCAAACCAGGTGAGCCTGGCGCTTGTGGGGCCCACTGGCTGTGGTAAGACTACGGCTCTGGCACGTCTGTGCTCCGAACTCGGCGCCTTTGGGGCGGAAGAGCACAAGCAGTGCCAGGCCGCTTTCACGTGGCAACGGGGAGTGTCTTCTAGCGTTGTTTTGAAGCTTCTTTTACAAGTCCCGTGTGCCTTGTGCTGCTTGTCTGTAGGATTTGGCCTGGGAGCTTGGGCGGCCTTCCCACCGGCATGGTTGGATGCTTGACCGCCTGCCTTGCGAGAGCAGCTCCGATGCAAGGATGCGGGCAGAGCACGGAAGATGCATTTACAGCAATTGCGGGACCGTGATCTGTCTCCAGTATCATAGGCGTGATGCTAAGGAGAGGAGGGCACCACTGTCATGCCCACCCTCCAGACTTTCAAATCACAGTCTTGCGTATACTCGGCCTTCGACACACCGGGTAGAGAGGAGCAGCTGTTGCTGTGCATGTGAAGCGCGGGCGCTGACATGAAACATGTTCGGACCCAAAGGCGCAGTAGAGCAGCAGGTGGAACGAAAAAGCTCAGAAGGTGCAAGGTCATTTCTCGCTGGGCTGAAACAGGACTTTGCTAGCAATTTTCTCAGCATCACGTCCTTGGCTGATGCGGCGGTGATGGTCGTGTCCGCAACTTCGGGGCACATAGTCATACGTGTTCTCATGCAGGTGCCTGAGTCTGCGTGCAGGGGTCATGATCCAGGCCGCAAGCGGCGAGTGGGAGATGGCGGTGGAGAGTGGAAGAGCCAGAGAATTAGCTCTAGACTGCTTCACAATGGGCATCAAGAAGCTTGGCAGCAACGTTTGCTGGGTGTGTAAGGTATCAACCTGTTGCTGAGTCTCCTGACCCTCTGGCCGAGGCATGTCCTTGTATGGATCACAAAGATGGATGATGTCACAGTGCAGTTCGAAGCTGCCAGATTTGAAGAAATAAAAAAGGCTGTGACAGCCTACTTGAAAGAGGTGGGCTACAAGCAGAAGGCCTGGGACTCTGGCGCAGCATGCGTTGTGCAGAGAGGTTTTGCAACACGTGACCATTCGTGAGATAGTAGCAGGATGTGCCGGTGGTTCCTCTCGCGGGCCTCTCGGGTGAAAACTTGGTCAGCAAATCGGCAGAGATGCCCTGGTATGCTGGCCCCACCGCCATCGAGTCCCTGGATGCCCTGGGTGACATGAACAGACCAGCGGAGCCTTGGATGAAAGCTCGAGCAGCGTCTCAGTGTATCGCTTTTGCCAGCGGAGTGCCTGCGGCAGCTCGGCAGCTCAGGAAAAGCCGTTGAGACTACCTGTACTGAAAGTCCATGACCAGCCCAAGGCTGGCACCGTGGTTGTAGGACGCATAGAGACGGGCTCGCTTCGGATAGGAATCAAGGTGATTTTCTCACCCAGTGGCCTCGTTTCAGAGGTCAGATCGATTTACAAAGCAGGCGAGTCAGTTAATGACGCCAGGGAAGGTGACATCGTGAGCGTAGGTCTGGGTTCCGGTGACGAGTCTGAGCAGTTGCGGCCCTCGGATATCCGTCGTGGCATGGTCATCTCGGGCAGCACCGATCCAGCAGCTGATGCTGAAACCTTCCTGGCGCAGGTGGTGGTTCTGAATCATCCAGGCGTCATCCGGGCCGGATACTGCCCTGCAATTGCCATACACACTGCCCAAGTTCCTTGCGAATTTGAGGAACTAGTGAGCAAGGTGGATAGGAAAAGCGGCAAGGATGCCGAGACAAACCCCACCAGTGCGAAGACTGGAGAGGTTGTTACGGTGAAGATGCGTCCTCGAGCCCTAGTCTGTGTGGAGACATTCAGTGCCTATCCTCCGCTCGGCCGGTTTGCCATCCGCGACCATGGCCGAACAGTGGGAGTTGGAGTAATCAAGGAGGTCAATAAGAGGCCGGTTCCGAAGCCAAGGAGTCACAATCAGTACTTTGACCCATCTGACGATACGTGACAGCTCCCGAGCAGCGCTGCAGACTCGCAAAAAGGACTTGGCCAAAGCTAGAGCGTGCAACCCATGCCCACAAGTGAGTCAGAGCAAATGCCAGCTCATCACACTGGAGCCGCTAAGGAGTAGAGAAACGGAAAGCGCCTAACTCGCGGAGAACCATCTCCACGCACTGCACTGTCGGCAGCAACGGCAAGCCTTCCTTCACCGCTGCTTCGCTTGATGAAGCTACCATGCTCCGTCCCGACGGTGCATTTTCACTGTCTTCGGCTTGCAGCATCTTGTAATTATCTAATAAGTTGAGGAGCTGGTGACTCTCGCGCACCTGGAACGTCCCGGTGCACCGGAGGACTAGTACTTTTCAACTCCTGTGCGCTGCGCGTAACAGCACCTGCGTTTGCTAGGAGAGATATAGCCTGGTCGCGTTAAAGCTCCACACGGGGCGGACGCACCAGATTCGCACCCAAGCTCAGCAATTCAGGGAGGTTGGCAAGCAATTGATGCCTGTGGCAGATGTTTAGGTGCCACTGTTATTATTATGCGAAGTCTACAGTAGCGTTGGCATCATAAGTGGTTGAGTGTGCATGGACCCAAGCCAGCCAGCACCATAAGGTGTTCACATGCAGTCGATCGGTCACCCTCTGATCACTGAAGCCTGGCCAGAAACGGAGGGCAAACAAGAAGAGCTCATACATGGGTCTCCACAAACGCGCCCAGGATGCCAAGTACGCGGAGGACAGGCTGAATGATGACAAGCAATGGTGCCCTCGAAATTTCCTCCACACCTACCGGTTAGCGCTGCCTGGCAAAGGGAATTTGACATGTGATGGCATCTCACCCCCAAAACTGCGCCAGCGTGCAAATGTTTACGCACAGGGGGGTGGCCTTGTCAGTGCCCAGACCGGCAGCGTCAATGGTTATTTTGGATGCAGGCTAGGAATTTGTGCATCTGCGCTGGCAAGCGACGTCGCGACATACAATTTTGGCGCTTGCAAGGGAAGCGAGGGGCACTCACAAGCATGATGGCCCGAACGTCATGGGTAGCAAGCAGGGGAACGTAATCGACGTAATCGCAGGCAGGCTCGAAATTTCTCACCATGCGATTGTCAGGTTTCGGGATGTTCCCAACGAGCAAGACCTGGAGGCTTCTGGGTACGGCCCAGTTCGGGACCGCACATTCTGAAAAATGTTCATGTGCTGCATGCGCAGATAGCACGATCCACATGTCAGAATCTCATGCGAAGAGCTCAACTTGCTATGCGACTCGTATGCACGATTTCGCTCGAGGAGCTGGTAACTCCGCTTCCCGTGGATCTGAGGGAAACCCTGGCACTCCTGAAGCCGGTGGCTGCGTCATCCCAGCAGCACTACGAGGAGCTTTGAATGCTGCAGCTGCAGCTGGCTGCAGCTGGTTGGCTCGCCAGTTTGAAGGGCTGTGCACAGGACTGGCTCAGCGGAGAAGCCACACGGCTCCGTGCCTTCGAGCGGCTTGAGCCTGCAGAGCCCGCGGAGTCACAGTGAGAGACAAAACAAAACACTTCTTGGCAAGCCTTGTGCAAAGCCAGCAGCATTCGACGCGAGCCTGAACTCCCTGAACATGAGGCGCTACGTTGTAGCTCAGGGCTTCAAGGCTGGAAGCAGTGACACCTAATTGTATTGTTTGGGCGCAGATTCTGTGCAGGGCGCCCAGGGGCCTGGCTTCGCTGCCCTTTTAGCAGCAGTGCGTCGGGCGCAAGCCCAGTGGCCCCAGCACGATGCCTATTGGGTAGCCAGTGGATCCATTCGTGGGCAGGGATGATCTCTGAAGGCCGGCAGGCACTTGGAGCGGCGCCGCGCCCCTCTGGCTGGTGCCACCGTGTGAACTTCAGTTGTTCACCATCTTCACCTTCAAAACACGCCCATTGATCCAGCAACAAACCAGGTCTTTGCTAGAAGAGGCTCCAGAGTTCCTGCGTTCCGTGCGTGAAATGACAAGATCGCTGTGCAGGCCCAACTTGCGATCCATGCTTGTGTGATTCATGGACTTTTCTGGTTTGCCTTCTTCTTGTAAAGCCAGGCGACAAACCGAGGCCCTGCAGGCTGTGATGGACCGAGCCGAAGAGATCCTGGGCCAAGCTCCTGTGCAAAGTGATGCAGCAATCAGACATTCGACATCCTAGGGTCCTAGAGCTTCTTCAGAGCTTTGAGGCGAAGGAGTGGAGCACAGGCCCAAGCGAAGGCGACGGCCGCGGGAGCGCCGAGGCACCGGACCAGGGTTCTTCCGAAGCACGCATACCGTGGAGGCGCATGTGCTGTACAGCTCTTAGCAGAAGCATGCTCAGCATTGCTTGTCTGGAGCTCCAGGCCCAACGTCGATCGATACAGATGCTTGCCAGAAGGAAAAGTGCTGTTTCCGTTGTATCCCAGCCGTGCAGGGAGTCAGCAAGATGATGCGGCTGCTGTAAGCCTCCTCGTGCGTTGGGCTGCTTTGACAAAGTATATGCCGGTTGCTGCATAGGCTCGACTCAAGCTTGTCAAATATTCAGACATTCTTGGGTCTGCAGGACAGCCGTTCTGCAACAAGTTATCACACAGCTTTTGATTTGTGTGCATTGAAGCCCACTCAAGCTGGACCAGCTCCTGCGCTACTCTGCTACTTTTACTGATCATGGCCTCGGCGGCTGCCACAGCAATGGTGGAGGACAGGGAGAGCTTCGAGGCTCTGAGCAGTCTCTTTTTAGCGCCGAAGCGTTCAGAAGCGTTGGCTACAGGTATTCCTGCGATCGGAGCTGGATGCGCTGCAAAAAAGGCGTAGAATCTTGCAGGATGTCCTTTCCACAGATTGGAAAGCTCAACGCAAAAGGTTGATGGCACAGTACTCCGTATCTCGGAGAGCTGGAACTGATCCGGTCAAGGCTTGTCATTGAAGCTGAGATGGCGGCTATGGCAGTGAGTCGTGTGAGTCGTGACATACGTTCTCGCAGAAAACGTCTTGCAAGTTGATCCTTGTTTTACTGCGAGGCATCTGGCTGGCTTGGTCCATCACAGGTAGGGGCCTCAGAAATTAGGTGGCGTCAGACAACCTATCAAGCACTTCATGTGCTGCCGTCAAGGTCTGTGGCCGCAACCGGGAATACACAGAGCAAGATCTAGGAAATTCCATCGAAGAACTGCAGCCGGAGGAGCCTATGCACGGGATTTATCAAAGCACAGCGCCTTGACTTCTCACAGTTTCACACCCGACTTGCAGGGCGGGGTGCTAGACGAAAGCACGCCTCTTGCGGAGGCAATGGTCCAGGCATGAGCGGCGTTGTGCAATCCAAGCAGATGGCCAAAAGTTCCGAAAGTCAAAGAGCCGCGCTTGCTGTGAGGCCTTGCCTGATAAATCTGCGCTGGACCGCACAAGCAAGCTGCTTTCAAGCCTTGCGCTCGCATTGACTGAGAGCACAAGTGGGTGGGCTATTCGACAGTTCCAGTGCGGCTGCTATCCCTGTGTTTTCTCATACAGCTTCGCAAGTTTGAACACAGAAACTTTACTCCCTGTACACGCTGCTGAAGTTTGCTGTCCCATGTAATTTCTGCAAGCCCGCTCTGGTTGGCGGTCCGGGCTTCCTTTCTAGCCCCGTAGCGCGGGCATGCTGGCACTGGAACCTCAGGTCTGCGAACGTATGATTGCCCCAGCCTCAGTTTGTCTGGCAATTCCTTTGATTCTTTGATCAGCTGTTGGCAGTTGACAGCCCTTTAGAATTGGCCTTGGCGCTGCGACTCACCAAGGTTTGGAGGGTGATGAGAATGAGGGCGGCAGTGCTGCAAAAGGATGCAAGGGGAACAGGATGGAGTTTTCCTTGCTGGGATTGTCCACTTTCACATATCCCAAGGTGAGATGGATTTTAGCATCTTGGCAGAAGCGCGAGCATCTCGAAGCTCCAGCTTGGCTTTTCTTGTCTATACCCACAAAGCGCCAGTGTTGTGCCGAGGCACGCAGCAAGTGGTGCAGGCTGGCATTTACTTCAGCATGCATGCAGCACGCAAGTTGAAACACAATGCGCATGGCGAATCAGAGAGTGATTACGGTTCCAACCCGATCAGAGTCTGCAATCTCGATCCCTGAGGAGAAGAGCAGCCCCTCCGACGACGACAGCGTGCGCAATCCCAAGGCCCTGATTTCTTGGGTGACCTGGCTGAAACGGGAAGATGTCAATTTTTGGGCGTGATGCACCTCAACACGAGAGTGCTTGCGAAGCGCGGGTATTCACACCAAGGAGTTTGAAATGTGCAGGTTCCACAAGAAGACCTCTCATGTATAAGAATCTTCAATAGGCGTCCTCTCTGGCGCCCCAAACGAGCAATGTCCGGAATCAGGCCCATAGGTGTCAAGGATGATGTAGAAATGTTGTAGCCTAACTTTGCAGACAGCGCCCCGCCAAGTAAAGTGTAGATGATAGTCAATCTCAGTGAGGCCATGTTCTTGGACCAGCTCAGCTTGCACTACGAGCTGGATTTTGGGACAGTGCTCACTGGAACCAGCATTTTGCAGCTTAGCTGGCGCAGCCAAGGTGGTATCAAGCTAACATAGTTGCCGATAGCTGGTTAAGAGGGCAAGAGGACCTGAGCTGGCGCTGGAAAGGGGCCGCGTCCTTCCCCATGTAAGGCAAACCAAGCCTAGAGCCGAGAGCGAGTTGGACATGAACGTCAGGCTTCAGCCTCAGCAGTTCCTTGCGTTTCAATGGCTTCATCCGCTTCAATCCTGACCCAGAGCGGCTTAAGCTAAGAAGATGCAACTTTACTTTTCGCTCGTTCTAAACTCGAGCATCTCCAGTGCTTCAAACAAAAGGGGTAAGTCCGTAGCTTCTACTAGCAAACTTCAATCAGAGGCTTTAGTGCTCGGTGGGCCATGGCAACCATGCGCCCCGGCAAAGATCCAGCAACAATGCGCGTCGGCGTTAACCTTGGTTCTGCGGAAGAAGAGGCAAAGGCTGCGAAGGTTGCAGTAACAATGCACGAGACGATGGTGCGTGGCTTGAATCTCGTGAGGCTTGTATCTTATTTGCAGTCAGTGCGGCCTTTTGGGTGCTTTGAAAATCCGTAAATTTGACATGTGCAGGCACCATCTTTCTCTCCTCTTGTTGCATTTGTGAAGGTGATTCTTGGCTCACCGGTGGTGGTCCAGAGCTGTTTCATCCATTCTGTCGACCTCCCCAGCTGGCTAATGCGGCTTTTCGAACCTTGGCAATCCATCACCTTTTTCAATGTGTCACATGGGCTTGGCGCTGTGGGAAGTTTTGCTGGCTCGCGCTGCCACAGCGTGGTATCAGTAAGGCCATCTACGCCGTGGTGGGTGTAGTTGGCGCATTGGTGGCTCCAGAACCTCAGATGGAAAGTGTCAGTCTGGCTTGTGGGAGCGACTAGTAAAGGCACGTTTGCCACCAGCATTGTTAGCAATGCTGGCCATTGCACGGTCCACTTGCATCTCAGGAACAGGCCTTCTACGCTTTGGGCTTGAAAGAGATGAGATGGGCTTTTCTTCGGCTGCAGCTTGTTTGAACATGATCTGCGAGCGCCCATCCTTGCTCTGTTGTGTCCTCAATGAGGTACCCCGAGGCCGCCTCTTGGAACGGCAATCATCTGCCGGACAGTGATCCTTGCAGCTCCAAGTCGCTGCTGGGAGGCTGGCGGGAGAATGGGCCGTGATTCGTGATGGTTGCAGACTCTGAGCATGGCTTGCGTCAGGCGCAGATGTGTTGGGAGAGCTTGCCGGTGTCAGTGTGCGGCTGAAGTGGACCGCTGATGACAAATTCCTAGCCTTGGATTCAGCTGGTTGGGCAATCCCTGGGCCAGAGTCCATGGCCGCGGTCCTTACGCTTCAGCCCGTGTATACGAAGGGCCAGCAGCTGCCAGACACATACACTTTTCAGCTCCGCATCCCAGGCTCAAAATGGGATGATCACTGGCTCTCATGCACGCCTGTGAACCACTTGCGTATGGGGGGCTGGCTACGAGCAAGCCGCTCTCAGCAGGATGCCAGTACTTTTAAGCTCCTGCAAGACAGCTCATGCCCTATGGGCGCATGTAAGATTCTCAGTACCTGGTCAACCCCGCCACAGCAGCAGCCCCTCTTGAGCGGAAGGGATGGAGGTTGCATGCCCGCAGGCTTCTACCTTGTCAGCCAATGCCACGGTGGGCGAAGCTATGTTGGCCAAGCTCCAGATGTTGAGGCTTCTCATTTCGAGTTGATCTTGGCCAGCGAGTGACCCAGGAGGTGGCAGAAGTGACCGCCTTTTTCGCTGACGTAGGTCCCGTGCCAGACGCGAGTTTGCAAAAGAGGTTTGAAGCTAGCTGTTGCTCTATCGCGACGAGCCTGCTGCATGCTGAGATAGAGCTTTGACCTTAAGCTGTCAGTCAATGTGACTCTTCAGGTCTGCCTGGACTACGCCAATGAGCAAGAAGGGATCCCTTGCAGCTCAGCAGTAGGGATGGTGAGTGAATGCTCTGACGGCTCCGCAAGATTCCAAAGAGCTGTGAAACCCGCTCCATGTGGAGTTACACGACTTTTCACCTTCCGGCCGAGGTACTAAAGCAGTTGTCTTCCAAACACAACCTGACTGAAACTTGACGTGGGTTAGAGAGGGCAGATGGGGGTGCACACCTGCCTAGAAATGTGTTGAAGCTATGTTGACCAGCGATGCCTGCCTCTACCATTTATCCGCCCAAGACACAGCAAGAAGTCTTCCCACACCATTTCAGGACGACGATGACAGAGAGACACGGACTTCATTAGCGAGCCGCAGTGAAGGGGAAAGTCGTTTCGACCGCATCGTCCTACATCCCTACAAATACTGTCGAGTGTCGTGGGGATTGCTCACTCTCCTGGCTGCTGGGCAGCAGTTCCTGCAAGTCCTCGCCACATCATTGAGCAATGTGAGCTACAGGACACTCTACACTCCTTAAAGGGGTTTTAGAGGGGGTTACATAGGGGAGTATTATAGGGCTTATCAAGGAGGATACTAGGAGTTGAGACTATAGATCATATAGCTTCCAGGCTGTTATGCCGCGGCTTTGCTCACTGGCGCCCATGAGCCTTGTGAGGTTGTGGCATGGGAGGCGGTCGCTATGCCGTTGCTGTTGTTTGACCTCGGACAGTTTAGTGGTATCTTGAGCAGCGCCATGTTTGCAAAAGCTTCAGGGCTGGGTTACAAGGTTGGAACCCAGACCGTCCAACCCAAATTTCCGCGTCCGAGGCCTCACCAGCGCCATGCTTGGCTTCTGGTTGGCCTTGTTCTCGGTCAGAACCAGAATCATCAGAAGCGCTGCGCGTGACATTGATAAGTGTCAGCACTTTCTCCAGGTGGATATTTGCATCAACTGCATCACCGGCGTTGATCGTGGAGGCTCAGGGCAGAGCAAAGTGTCGTACACGCTAGAGCTGGCTCAACACGGCCAGGTGTTATTGATCTCCGTTTGACAACAGCCTTTCGCGCGTTGCTAGGCTGCTATCAGCCAAATTCGATACACCACACCAATAACTTGTGAATTGCAAAAAAGGTATGCAACATCCTGGTTGTTGCCAGATCTACTGCCGCGTGGCTGGTGTTCAGCGAGTCCTCTTTGTCTTCTGCCACCACTTTCTGTGCTAGACGCAAACCTGAGATAGCAGGTCCATTGACCTAAGGATCGTTCTTCTTGATGTTGTGGTTCTACTGGCTGTCTCAGAAGATCAAGGCACGGTTGAGCCGAAAGCTGGCTGTTGGAAGCTGGCAGAACTTCATGATATCCCCAGGAGAGATGGCCACATCCGCAGGAAGTCAGGGGATGAGGTGCAGATTTCACATGATTTCACACTGCCAGGGCAGCGCCTTGCAACAAATGTAGAGGCTTGCGCGTGCCTTGCGGCTGCTCCGCCTGATTCGGCTTCTGCGAGCCGCACAGCTGCGTTTGGAGCGCTCTTTTTGCAAAAAGGGTGAGCCTGACGGCAGTCAGACAATCTGCCACCCGCCACCCAGATATATAAAGCATCCTCGGCGGCAAATTTCTTGGTCGACTACATTCGCTCGCCTTCCTTGTTGATTGCCACTTGGAGCGTATGCGCATGAGCGTTGAAGGTTTTACACCCTGTGATCTAGTGTTCCAGATTTTGCAAGCATGTCCCTGAGGCTTCTAAAATTGCCTGGATCCTTGGCAACATGTTTTGGTGAGCCTTGTGGCATCTTGCGGCGTCACCAGCTTTCTCAAGCTTGACGCTGCTTGCACATCAGCAACCGCACAGGACACTGCTCACGATTCTTTTCATCAACCACTACATTGCCTGCGGTTGGCTGCTTGTCCAACAGCTAGCTCTACACAACATGCTGCTGGTTATCTGAGAGTGCGAGTCAGGTTGTTTATTCATCTGCTGAGGTGCGCTATAGCCTATTTTAATGTTGACGCATGGACGCCGCTTTGCTGGTTTACTCCTGCACAACCGCTGCAGTCAGAAGTCCTTGGAAGGAGATGTTTTGCACTGCAAAGGTGGATTGTTGCATCGAACCTGGAGGCAGCAACTTTCACCGAGTTGCGACGCGACTGCAGCACGCACACCTGCGCCCAGAATGTCAAGGTTTAAGGCCTCAACGTTGCTTTGTGAGGTATCTGTCTTCCTTGCACTGGAGTCTGACCCAGTGCCATGGCTGCACCAGCCAGGGGTAGCTGGAGAGGTCAGCAGCGAGTGTTGGAGGAGTTGCAGTCAAAGGCATGGCGTAAGCCATTTGAAGGCAAGACTTCATCTGCTAACTGCTAACGAGAGTGATACACAACTAATCCAACCTGGCCTTGCACAAGACGAAAACGTTTGGCCGATAACCTTAGAGGTGTCAGATGCTACATTGCATGGTGCATTTGCCAGGTTCTCGCCAGCTACCAACAATATAGCCCCACAGAACGTCCTCGAGCGCAGTGTGGCAGCCTTTGTGGCCAAGAGGAAGTTTATTGTTGGAATCATGTCATGTTGATGCAGTGAGCCATGCCTTCACGTCAGGCTTTGGCTGGAACAAGGGGTAGGAGATTCACATGAGCTCAGGTGGTTATCTTCGCGCTTTTGGTTTTCTCCTCTTTTGTAAGCAGTGCCTTGGAAAGGAACCAGCTCAACACATGAGAGAGGACTTAATGTGAGGGCTGCAGTCGGACAGTGGGGTCAAGGTGGTGGGTTGCACTTAAGGTATTACAAACCACATGAATCAATTGCGCATCACTAACGCGCGCATGATCGAGGAGGATATGCAGTTGAGGCCTGGGAGAGTCAGTTGTTCGTGTGCGGCTGGTGACGCAGCGCTGTTTTGCATGATGTCGTATGACATATGATGGGTCTGTGGGACGAACCCACAATTGGGAGGAATTTCTTCGAAAAAAGGATGATTTCGGTGGACTTGAGCGGTCGAATCCAGCACCTGTTCAAGAAGGGCACCTCGTTTGGAGCAATCGGGACTTGACTCACCGGGATGGCTTGGCACGAGAGTCTGCAAGAGGTATTCATTTAGGAGGACAGAATATCCGGAGCAGCCGAGGAAATGGCCTTCACATGAGGCGGTGGCTTGACTGAGAGATGCAGGAACATGTTGCCGGTCCCCACCTAACCTAGCCTGGGCGGACTGTGTGCCATGCACGGCGCGAAAGGACATTAGGTGAAGGACATGCCTTGACGGGCATGCAGGTCAGTGTTTGTCCTGATGATGCGGGCTAGCATCGTAGTGCGCGACATGTTTGCTGATTTTGCTGGTGCAGACAAGGCCGCACGTTGGAGACATTCCGTTCCTGAAGGACCGGTCCTGCACAAGTTGTAGCCGAATTCACACAGGATGCTGCTCAGAGGACATGCCAGAAAGTCTGCGGATACATCTTCACAATGAGCATCTTGGCCCATCACTGCCCCGCAGCCATGGCACCCTTGCTCACTTGCGAGCACGAAGCAGCTGGGCAATTGCTTGCAGAATGCGTTTGAAGCCCTGACCGAGGCTATACATGCAGTATTTCTATGACATGCCGGTCTTCAGCAAGGCAGCAGTGTCAGCATTGTGCAGCTGTTCGCTTCTTGCAGAGTATCGCTCACACTTGAAAGATGCTGTCCAGACTATCTCGATGGACCGGACACTCTTTTCCAAGATCTGCCACCACGCCTTCGAGGCCAGTTATGCCAGGTTTCCAAGTGCACCACTTCCCAAAAGCTGTGCCGGAGCCAAAGTCATACCGTTCAGGAGCGATTTTACCCTGCATCTTTCGAAGTCTTCGTGGATGGTAGCAACGCAAAGTTTGCAGTCATCAACGTGAATGGCAACTTGGTTGAGGTGTTGAGCACCAGTGCTGCTGCGTGCACAGCAGCCGAGTCACATGCATTTGAACGTTTTTATCCAAATATTCCCTCTGCACTTCTGAAAAGGGATCCCCCTTCATAGTCTCCTTCTGTTCATCGCATCCCCATCCGCCCTGTCATGGGAATAGCGACGTAGTGCCGAGGCGACTTGAACTACTCCTGGATGCAGAGCGCCTGGGATCCCCACCCTTCGGTGACGTGGCTGCAAGGGTTTCGGGCAGCTTCATGCAGCTATGTGCGCTGACAGAAGAGAGCCGAGCCAAGGTAAGAGCCATCTCTCACGCAACCACCATGATCAAGGCAGCGCAACAACAGATAAGCAGGCTCTGTACTCACAGTTTCCTTGGCATCGCAGTATTCAATTTGTAACCCTTGTAACCAAAGCCCACTGTACAATCCAAAGAAGCATCTGCTGCTTCGGAGCCCTTCGCCTGCCCAACTTGTGCCGCAGAATCAGGCCTGCAGTTGAGGCTAGAGCCGTTTGTTTGCGCGCAAGTTGTCCCCACATGCTGCTGGGAAGGTGCCGCTGGGTGCTTGGCTGGCTGAGGCAGCACTCTGGAGCAGCCGGCCTGCAAGTGTGAGAGCTATACAGCTATACTACTAATACTTGGTCCGGAGATTCGTGTGTCCAGCAGCTGTCCGATGACATCTGGAGCTTGATGGGGAGACCACTGCAGATCAAAAGTGTCCCAGTGAAGATGCGGTACCATCCAAGGCGATTGGGTCCATCGTGGCCTGCTTGAGTCCGTCTCGCCAAGTGAGGTTCTTCTGCTGGCCGCTTGGCAGGGAAGAACACGGGGTCTGCAGCTTCATCACCTTACCAATCCGTAAGAGTGAGCTATCTCCTGCAAGGACGTCAACAGTTTCACCTACCAGTGCCACAACCACGGCGGGCCCGTGTACAACCTCCTGAGGAGGGTGGCAGTTCTCGCAATTGCGTACCGTGCAGCTTGGCTGGACGACCTGACAATGCCACGAAGGATCGCGAAGGCTAAAGGCGCCTGAGTTTTCTGTTTGACATTTGGCAAGCCAAGCTGCATGTAAACTGAGCTGTTTGCGTGGGCAGTTGCTCAGAGCCAAGGAGCAGCTGAGCCGGTCGTAAGCTCAGATCTTGAGCGGAGTGGCTTTGGAATTCAAGTCAGCCCGGCCCAGGAGTGCCACGGCAGTTACGGACTGGCCCTTGAGCGAACTTGCCTGGAAGAACATCCTTGAGCGAGCTCGGGCCTCAGCTTGCAGAGCCCAGTGCACGTGGAACCAAATTTGACGTCTGCTTAGGCCATGAAGTTGAATACGATGAACACGGTTGCTTGGCTTATGCCGCGAGCTTGAACCAAAGCCAACACTTGATCGACCCAGGTGATCAATGCCATGACACGAGTATCGCTGAAGCGACCTACGTGAGATAACGAGTGCCTGTAGCCGCTTACGGACAGCCTCGTCGCAGGGAGAAATTTCATAGAAGCTTCGTTTTTACTGACACAACAGTAGCGTGTTTGGACTTGTTGGATACGACCTGCAGCTAGGCTGTTTTTATCTTTGTCCGGAACTGCTGTACAGTTATGGCTGGACTTCCACCAGCGGATCTTTGGCGGCATCAGCAGACGCATGAAGGCGTGAAGAACCAGATGGGCTCTCGAGCTGTAGTGGGACCACAACTCGGTCATTGGCGCAAATGGCATTTCGTTTTAAATCAACAAGCGAATTCATTCATTTTTCATCTCCTCTCCTCTAACTTCGTTTCTTTGATATGGAGAACAATCTCATTGTAAGAAACTCAGGCATGTTCCCATGTAAGAATAGACTACAATTTTTACCTTTTTGACAGGGTCTCCGCAAGCAGAGTGCTTCCGCAGATCAAGTGTCAGAATCCATTGCTACAAGTCTCAGATTCAAGACGCTGTTTATCGGCGTATTGTTGATTCATGATAGGGGCCGGATGCGGTAAAATGAATCTAGCAGCTCAAGACTCAAATTCAAATTTCATCAGTTCTTCATTCAGGATTTTGTGTTCGGGTCCCTGTGGCTGCTTGCAGGAGAGAACCTTTTGTCAGAAACTGATCAGTTTAGGGGTGAAGCTGACAGGATTTACTTTGGTGCCCTGGGCAGCGTCCCGCGGTGATACTGTAGTGGGAAGCAATTTTGATGGCAAGTCTGAGCCTCCTGCCATGATAGTGGGAGGAGAGGGCTGGCGACGTCTTTATCCTTCAATTTCTCGGTTTTTACGGTTTGACAATTTCATCCTTGCCCTTCATATTCTCCGCTTTTACGGTTAAATTCTCTAACCGTAAAAGCAGACAATTCGAAGGATGAGGATGGAATTATCGGACCGTAAAAGCGGAGAATTTAAAGCGTAAGAGTGGAATTGTCTAAGTGTAAAAACGGAGAATTAGAAGGGTAAAGGCGGATTTGTCATGATTTATCTAACCGTAAAAACGGAATATTTCAAGGAAAACGGAGAATTTGAAGGATAAGGACGGAATTATCTAATCATAAAAATCACTAATTTGAAGCGTAGAGGACATATTATTCTAATCATAATTGAGAAGAATTAGAAGATTAAGGAATGGTAAGGATAGAATTATCTAATTATAGAAGCGCAGAATTTGAAGGGAGAAGGATAAATTACCTAAAGATAAAATCGAGAATAATGACAGAATTATTTAATCGTAAAGGCGGAGAATTTGAAAGATAAAGATATCATCGAATGGGAAGCTGAGATTCTTCAATATGATATCTTCCTAAGATTTTTGAAAATAATCGAAATCTTACTTCTCAAATACTAAAAGAATCTTCTTTAAGATTTATTTGATAATTTCATTCCTAAATTTGAATTATAAAGGGATATCGTCCTAAAATCTTTTTAGAGAAATTTTTTTCTAAATCTCATAAATAATATATAAAAGCTTTCTTAGATGTATCTCTAAATTTTGAATGATAAACTTAATCTTTCTAAGATATTCTAGAAATTATGGGATTCGTTTCTGATTAATTATGAAATGAAAAAAATTTGAATGATTTTCAAAATCATTTTTCATTTAAATACGAAATATATCGACTTTATCAGATTAAAATGAAATTTAGGAATTATATATCTCAATATAGTTCTAAAATATTCTTTAATGATAAATACATAGAATCGATAAATGAATAGATTTGAAAAGATCTAGATATTTAATCGGATAAGCTATAGATTCAATGATAGATAAATTATCAAATCGAAAATTGAATTATAGAAATCCCCGAATGATATCATGAAATCGCGGATTAAGAATTTAGTATAATAAAAAACTAATCTATTAGATATTTCTTAGAAATAATCGCTGCATATTTAAATAGAATGAAAATTCGATATATAAAAAATATATATCAAAGAATTATTATAGAAATTATTACCCCGATAAAAAGGAGAATCGATAATTTCGATAATCTCTAAAGATTAACGAATAATTCTTATTCAAAAAATTAATGACTAAATAAAGATCTAGAAAAATTCTAGATTTTGAAAATATTATCAAGCATAAAATAATGATATAAATTCATAGAGATAGAAATATAGAGATTAGAGATCGAGAAGAGATAAAATTAGAAAAGAGAACCTACGACTATCAATATATCGATTTTTCAATGCTGACCCTGAGAAAATCTATATCGAGATATCCGATGATCGAATAAATATATAAAATCGTATATGAAAACCGATTATAAAGATTTCAAATTTGCGTATAATATATAGAATCTGGTTCTTCACGTTCTACTGAGCCGCCGCGTAGACAACCAAAGAAATAGAAATCATTTGCAATATTAGGAGATTTTTGGTCATATGCTCCTTTCATCGAATGACCGTTGATCGCGTTATCCTTGCATCTAATCCAATTTTTCCCCCTCATTTTATCTCTCTTGGATTATCTGCGTGGCGGCTCCGGGGAGCAAAAAAAAATCTATCAAAATATACGGCCATCCTATAAATTCTAAAAGATTATGACTTTCCGTCTCGGGTATATGCGTGCCTTTGAATATCTTTGCCGCGCCAATAATCAAAGAAAGATAAATCACGCCGAATATATCGACGAACAATCAATATATAAGACAATACGTCATCAAAATAATCAACTAAATCAACCTAATAGATTCTGAAAGATTTTAGATCTCCGCCCCAGATCTTCCTCGAATCGGGGCGCGAACAACCGAATCAAGAGAAAAAAATCTAAGAAATTCTTCAAAATCTCGAAGAAATTCGGATCGCGCCTCCTCGAATATTTTCTATATTTCATTTATCTCTCTTAGGCGGCTGGCGCCTTGAGAGAATATATAAATCTTCGTGAATAGCCATATCCAAGTTATAAGAATTTTCTTCTATCTCGAAATTTACGTATTCTGCGAAATAATTCGGCTGAGAAAATCACATCACGTAAGAATAATATAAATCGCGCGCATACGAGAATCAAGCCCATCATAATTTTGAGGAAATTTCTAATTGCATAGCTTTATATATTAGAGTGGACCCGCTGTTTACAGCAGCGGAATATAATCGTTGGAGTAGATTCGTAATGGCAAGCTATAAGTGATGAGCAATACGTGGAGGTGGCGGGCGGCGGCGGCAGCAACGGCGGCGGTAGGGGCGCTGAAGGCGGCACTGACGGCAACGGCAGTAGGGACGGTGGTGAGGGCGCCGTGGCGACGGCGGCGGCGGTGGCGGCTGCGGTCGCGGTAACGGTAGCGGCGAGGGTGGCGGTGAGGGTGGCGGTGAGGGTGGCGGTGAGGG